AGGAATGGAAGTAAGCATATGTTTTAAATTAATCACATGCATAAATGCCTTCTTGAACCAGAGCAAAGCCATACTTGGCATGAGAGAAAGCAATTTTCTGCAACAAAAGTTAAATGCTCTATTTAAATTTTAATGGCTCTGATTGACCTTTTCTTTCTTTATTATTTATGACCTACATTCTTCTTCATTGTCTAAAATTATCAATTCATGTCAAGATAATGGTGAAATGCTTGATGCCCTTGGAAATATCTGCTATTTCTTTTTAAATGACATGATTATTTTAATAATACTTGAAAGTGTATAATGTTTTCTGGGTCAAAGTTATCATGAATCAAACCAGTGCACCATTTTTGCCAAACTAGATGTAGAAATTTGTAATTTCACCTCCACTGCCACATAGGCTTGTTTTTTTTGTTTGTTTGTTGTTTTTTTTTTGTGGGTTTTTGTTTGTTTGTTTGCATTAATTTTAACTACTGATAAGTACCCATAAAATAAATTGCCAAAGTTGGATTGCTGTGTTGGGTAATCTTTGATGAAACTGTTAGTTTTCTTGTGACATTTCTAAAAGGACTGCCATGTCACAAACAGCAAAGAGATTTAGAATTATGGCATTAGCCTTCAAAGCTGATTATTAATGTGTAACGCTTATTTCACTTAAATTGGCGTTCTGTGGAAGCTGACACATTTAACACCTGATCTTCAGTTACTTGTTCCAGTGATGGGGATAATTTACTGCAACCATGGAATATTTGGTATGCTGTTCTAAATGATGAAGGTGGAAAATGTCTCTTGGAGGAGTCACCAATTACATTTAACAATGACTTTTCAAATAGTTTCATGCATCTGCAAGCTTTTATGAGATGTGCATCCTGTACTGAGACAGATGAGATCCACTTAGAAACTTCTTCAAGTTAAGTTGAAATCCAGATTTTCAACTACTTTCACTGCTGGCAAGGCTTTATATATTTAAGCTACAATCCTCATTCAGAAATTCCACATATTAAAATATAGATAGTAAAAGGACACCATGCTTACTGTCTAATGTTTTCATTCCGTGCTTATAAAGTTGACTGCATTAGATACATAAATGTTATAAATGTTAAAAGAAACATCTTTGTCTTCACCACTGATTTCGTTCTGATTCTCAGGGGAATGGTTAGCTACACTTAGCAGCTTTTTATTGACATACAGAACTTTGGTGTACAGTTACTAACAATCCTTCCACGTCTTCTGAATGACTCCCACACTGGGCCAAGATTCCCTGGTCTGAGAATCACTGGAGTTTTAACGTAGGGAGATCTGAATAGGAAATATAGTTTATAATAATAAGGTGAGATCATCTATTGCCCTTCAACAAGGAATTTATCTTATCGTTCTCTATAAAGGAAGAAATATAAACCTTAAAGTATAAATATAGATAACACAACTTTTGCCAGTATTTTTGTTTCCATATTTGATCACTTGATAATATTTGATACTTGAGCATGTTTTGCTTTAATCGGCTACAATATTTTTCATTTTTCCTTTGATTGGTTATTCCATTTTTCTTTTTCTTTCTTTTTTTTCTTTTTTTTTTTTTTCGATGGGAAAAAAAATAATGAAAAGCATTAAGTCTACAAAACTTTTTTAATTTGAAACTGTTTTTCGCCCCCCCACCCCTTACTTCTACATCTTGCAATCTAGAAATATCTTTTTTTTTTATTGACAAAATTCATTAACAATTACTTTAGTCAAGGTTCCAGAAGGTAAGTTTTTTCACAGTTTTATTATATGTGATTGGAGAATAAATAGCATCACACACTCAAAACTTCTTAGAACATTTACTTTACATAGTATTTTACTACAAGTATGACTTCCTGGTCCATTTTTGTATTTTCAGAAGGTTTTTTTTTCTATCCCTACTTTCTCCTTGCTATTCTTTTTCTACTGTTGACCCAAAATATTACACTATTTAGATTTAAAGAAATAACTGATATGCGATGTTTGAAAATTTTGGAATGAGGTTGAGATTTCCACACACACAGAAATATTTCTTCACTGTTTGACATTTGTCTAAATGCAGAATGGGAATGCTTACTGTGCAATTGTAGCTGATACAGCAAAAAATAATATTCTTGCAACACTAGTATCTACTCAGAATTATATACTGAAAAAAATACTACTTCATTTTCTGCTACATCAGCTACAACATCAGGCCCTACTGTAGGTAATGTGCCAGGATTTGGCTAACACAGGAGCTTCTGAGAAGGTGAGATTGAGAGTGCCTGGTTAATTCATGGGCTTTAGGACTCATTACTTTGAGGGTGGTTTCTTATTGTCTTTATCTTGGGGGTGGCTTTTTCACTTCAAGTAGATATGAAACAGGTTTACTTTCCAGTATTCTGGGTTGCATCTCATTTCTATCCAACTAATGGAATTCTTTCTTTTTCACCAGAAGTCCCAGGGAAAAAAATGCCACTTAATGTTTAGATAGATGGGAATGAAAGATAGATACAACAGCTTGGCTCATTTGTAATCTAAGAAGTAAACAAAGAAGTGCTTTAAAGGGAAGGGGCTTGTGAAAAATCAAGAATATATTCCTTTAGATGAAATGTGTTCAGATATTCCATTAATCATCAATGTGTGGAGGCCAAATTTTCTACAACTTGCCCTGTATATATAATTTTTTTTTTTTTTTTTTAGTCCTAGCCATCTTAACAGCTTTTTATCATTTGCAATATCACTCTTTCTGCATCTTTGCTCACTGTGCATATTGTATGTTTCTTTCAGGAGGGTTTCAGGAGAGCATAGCTGCCATGAGTGGAGTGCTTAATCAGAAAGTAGTATTAGTTTTACTCTGTGGGCAATTGCACCTGAAGGTGCTGAGAGGAAGAGATTTCTAGGATGTACGGTGGGATGGGTGGACAGAAGAGAATGGTCTAGATGGAGAGAAGTACAAGAAATTAGAAAGAGTAGACATACTCAGGTTTCAGTACCTCCCAAAAGTACATATTTCTGGCTACTGGAAATAAGGACTAAAAGGACATATAAATAACTATGCAAGGGCCATCAGGACACAGCAGAAAAGGAAAGAAATTGCTTATAACTTCTGTTTATTTCTGTTTTCTCCAGTGTACTTGTACTGAGATATACTGAGATATTTCCTTGGGATACACTGAGCAACTTAATTTGCAATCTAATAAAACATGACTTTTATCATAAAATAGCCTCCTGGACCTGTTTTGGCATGTCTGCTGTAAGGAAGAGGTCCAGGCACATTCACCTCTCAATTCTAGGGGATCTGGGAGCACTGTCAGAAATAATTTTATGCCTTACAAAACATCCTTACAAAACATTTGCTAAAGTATATGAATAACATGAATTTGAGAATAGTTAGCTGAATACATAGATTGAATGTATCTAATATTTTGATAAAATTCTGTATTTCATTAGTCTTTTGAATAAAACTCTTACATCAAACTGAAACTGCTAGACTACTGCAGTTTCTCAGTCACAAAGTTGATGTTGGTGTACTGATAGATAGTCAATTGAATATGAGCTAGCAGAGTGCCCACGTGGCCAAGAAAGTCAGTGGCATCCTGGCTTGTATCAGGAATGGAGTGGTGAGCAGGACTAGGGAAGTCATCTTCCCATGTATTTGGCATTGGTGAGGCCTCACCTTGAGTACTGTGTTCAGTTTTGGGCACCTCAATTCAGAAAGGACATTGAGGTGCTGGAGCAGATCCAAAGAAGGGCAACAAGGCTTGTGAAGGGCTTGGAGAATATGCCCTATGAGGAGTAACTAAAGGAACCAAGGTTGTTCAGTCTGGGGAAAAGGAGTCTGAGGGGAGATCTTATTGCTCTCTTCCAGTTCCTGAAAGGTGCTTACAGTGAGAGTGGGGTTGGTCTTTTCCCATTGGTGACAAGTGGCAGGATAAGGGGAAATGCCCTCAAGTAGCGCAGGACGTGCGGGGTGAGGGGGGAGAGTGATATCAGGAAAAACTTTACAGAAAAGTTGGTCAAGCACTGGAATAGGCTCCCCACTGAGGTAGTTGAGTCACCTTCCCTGGATCTGTTTCAAAACTGTTTGGATATGGAGCTCAAGGACATGATTTAGAGGAGGGTCATTAGAATTAGGGTAGTATGGTTAGGTTGTAGCTGGACTTGGTGATCGGTAATGTCTTTTCCAACTTGAGCAATTCTATGATTCTATGTCTGTGTAGCTTATGGAGACTTCGTAGGTGAGCCTTCTTTCTATTTCCCCTTTTATTCTTCACAAATCACTGAATTTTGTTATATGGATTGTGTTTTCTGTCTTGTTTTTTTTTTTTTTTTTTTTTGGGGGGGGGGGGGGGCTAATATATAAATCTTTTGAAAAGTACTCTCACTTGATAATTTATTCAGACAATATTTGTTGGGTTCTTTTATAAAAGGTGAGAGAAAAGCAGCAATCCAAATGAAAATCTGAATTGCAAATTATTTATCTGCCTGTAATGACTTATAAACAAAATTTAACAAAACTGCCTATGTTTTTCTCATGCCTATATTCTGCAGAAGTTGCATCTGCTATGTAAACTATAACATTTCTAAGCATACTTTTAGGAAGAAGATAGGTAAACATGTAAAAGCTAAGAACAGAAGATAACACAGCATGATATATTTTAACAACCATTGGAAAAAATGTTTAAAGTGGGAAAATACATTCCATGGCTAGATTCCTATCTGAAGTGTAGGTAATCTGGGGGAAAGACAGAGAAATATTCAGCTCCCATAGGCATGAAAGAAGTACAGTTTTACTGCATATTTAAACGATTCATTTGGGACAGTGCACACACAGCAGTGATTTGTAGAAACTCGGATAATTTTTATGAGTATATCAGTGAACAACAGTAATTGCATTTTCTCCCTAATGAATTCAATTCAGAACATAGATATAAGAAAGTTAAAGTTGGTCTCTGAGGACTTTTTTATTTGCCTGTAGGGCTTACACTGTTTTCTATGATTTTTTTTTTTTTTTAAAGGATCATCTGTTTCAACTGGAATCGCAAAAATTTGAGAGAGGACGAGGCAGGTGCCCTTTTGACCCTACTTCTTCCTTCACTTCCATCTTAATTGGTAATGATCTTTATGTCACAAGCTTCATGGTCATGTCAATCTATCGTTTTGAATATCTTTCTTCAGCATGCCAAAGTGTTGTCAGTCTTTCACTGCTTTCCACGTCACACTTAATCCTCACAGTGCTGCTGTGTTACATATGAGGCAGCATTCATTCCAGCAAGAATGTTTCAGTGGAGTTAGTAGAGGTTAAATGGCGTGTGTGATGTTGAAAAAGTAATTGTATAATTTTGGAAATAATTTCCTACTTTATTTCAAAGCAAAGCAATATGCTTAGCTTAGCCTTATACATCACTGAGATAAATATGCAAAGCTTACTGATTTTCACCTTTTGGGATGTAATCTGAATAATCTTGTAAATGTTAATTTTATTTATTTATTTATTTATTTTTTAAAAGACACTTATTGTTTATATAATGTATAGCATTTTTGAATTTGAAACAATTTTTGTCTGTGCTGTCTTCTAAGAAAACAAGTGATTTTCTATTGATCATATAATCAACAATTATAACAACAGAATTCAGTGTATTTCCTGCTGTGGCAGATATCTGTGCTGAGCTAGTGTTCCTCATTGCTTTGCTGGAAAGTTTATCACTGTAGGGCTGTGAACTTTGAAGTTGTAGTTCAGTAAACCATGTGGTTTTTTTTTTTCCCTTTGTAATTTGTTCCTGAGAACATTTTGTGAGATGAAGCAAACATGGCAATATTATAGTACATTGGCTAAAAACACACTGGAACAGCAGGTAAAAGGTGGAATTTTGATACACTTAGAGAGTAACACAGTGGCTTTATATTTTCAGGAAATACAAATAAAATGAAAACTGAGCATTCAAAAAGAATAGTAATTGAAAGAAAGAGCTAGAAAAGAGAGGCTAAGGATCAAATAAATTTTAAGTTTTTCAAGATTACAAAAAGGGAGGGACTGATTTTTATATTTCATTTAAAATATAAGAGTTGGAACTTTAGACAGCTAAAGTTTTTAATCATTAACTGAATTGTTACAAATCACCCATGGTGCTGAGGAGGTACTGGTCATGAGTGACAAACACATATTTTTCTAAGCTAGGTTTATTTTTTCGTTTAAAACAACAAATTAGAATATTTACCAAATCTCTCAGATTGCTGCAATTCATCAAAATATTGTTCATTCCCATTATCAAACATTACAGCTCAAATTCTTGGGTTGTTGGTTTAGGAAGTCGTGAAAGAATCAGGGAAAAATTAGATTGTATTTTATCTGACCTTCCAAAATCCATTACGTACAATTGTTATGCCTTTCTCCACTCTTATTTCCAAATTGTTTCTATAGTTTTTAACAGATTCCAGTCTTAGCTCAGCCTGAGTACAAGGGCTTATCCCATGGAATTTGCTGTAGGCCTGAAACCTCATGAACTTGGAAGTCCTTCTCAATCTTAACTGAGACATAACTAAGTAAATAAATTAACCTGACCATGTTCCTACTGTGAGATCAATGTGAATTTTATTTGCTCAAATGGAAGCCAGATTGTCCCACTGAGCATTTCAAGACTAGTGATTAGTTGTTGTGCTTCTGGTCTATTCATTACTGTGCCTGGATTATGGGAGGTCTTACGGATCTTCATGGTTTTATCTGAAAGAGTAATTCATGAAAAAAGCCTTTCTTTTGTAAACGGTGATCTGTTTTGAACATCTAGTCAAAGACTTAGAAGATCAGTCTCACAAAGTGTTCTGTAATATGCAAGTTTAACATGGGAAAATAATATATTTTTATCACATCAGTGATACATATCCAAAAAACAGACAAACTTTTACCACTTCACAAAGACTAATAGGACCTGAGAAAACTATTTAGAGACTTCCTTGATCCAATGGAAATTATTTTATTTCAAGTAATTATAGAGTGTTTTAAAAACAAAGCAACATTCTTTGACATGTTTATTACACTTATAATTCTGTTGGAATTAGATATTCCCAACAGTTAAGAAAAACATCCTAAAGAAGTTATTTCCATGTATCCTATTGTATTCTAATAACTAGAAACATATAGCTTACAGAATAAATAGAATTAACGCTGCTTCTTAAATTACAGACTGTATATCCTTTACCTCTGTACATATCCATTTGAAAATGGTCAAAGATAGAAATGCAAACATGTTTAATATTAAAGAATCTTTTAATTGATTTTTGAAAACTTAGACTGATGTTTCTAATGCCAAATGCACTCTACCGAAAGGGATGCTCCTTCTTTCATCCCAATTCTTGTACCAGCTGATGGTGGCTGTGACCCCATGTCAACTGCACCATGCACTCCTCAGGACTGGTCTTCCAGTCCTCCATCCAACACTTGGATATTCCCTTCTTTTTCATACCCTCCAGTTTTCTTGGACATGAAAACATTTAGTTGATATGAAATAATTTTTCTTTGGAGGTTGTTTTCAAAGATGCCTTCACTCTTCCATTCAGGCTCAGTTGCGTGCAAGTCCCTGAAAAAAAATTAAGCAAAACTTATACCAAAGTCTTTCATATTCCAGCTTCTCTTTCTTCATAAAAACAATCCAAAACCTATTTCAACCTCTGTAAGAAACAGCTCTAACTTGCATTGACACAGCAATTTATACCTGTGTAGCTACTGATTAACAGTGAGGATTAAGCTAACAAAGAAACTTTATCTACTTCTGATGAAAGTTTGAAAGTTCTTCAGCTTTAAAGATCATTTGCACCATCCCTTATTAGAAACAGATTTAGCTAAATTAACTTATTAGCAAAGAGACTATATTGTGCTGTGTCTCTTCATTTATCCATCTCAACACTTCAGTTAAAATCCTCACTTCAAGTAAACAGTAGTTCATGACTTCAAAACTATATCCACGTTCCTTTAAGCTTTATTATGTGTCATCTGACCCTATCGTAAAGTAGCTTGTAATGAATTTCCCAATTTATGAACAATTAACTTTTAGCAATTTATTGTCACCATCAGGAAACAAAACAGATGTTAGATAGGTGCACATTTAGGTAAACTACATATTAAAAAGAAAATAAAATTATTTGTAGTGAACTCTACCATCTGTTTTCAATAGCCATAACTCTGTTTGATATCTGATCACACACACTGATTAACTTAGATCACACTACCTCTTGAAAGCTGAGAAATTAGCTTATGCCTATATTTTTCTACCTCAAATTTTTCACAAGTAAGTGATGATAAACCTTCCATCCAGGAAATCCATTCTGATAGTTTCTGTTGTTTGCAGTCCTAGGGCAGCTTAATGTCTTGTTAGTAATAGGAGCCCTAGATGAGATGGATGTAGTATGGACATATCCCTGTATAGGATGTAGTATGGACATTACAGTGAGAATAAAATAAAAAAGTACTTAATCCATAATATTTTCAGATCGAAGTAGCTTTATTCCTTATATAGATAGTGCAGTTAACAGACACAAGAACAAAATCAGACTCTTGGCCTTGTATACTCTTTAAATTCGCATGTTACAAAAGCCATTTTATGTGGATTAAAAACAGGTAAATATAAGTAGACCTAAAACCAGTGAAAAGAGATACGACTCTTAATGCTTTACGTGTATATGTATATATATATATATATATATGTGTCCTGTGTATTAATTTGATGCATCTTTAAATAATTATATTTTTTTATGATTGCACATATACCTTGAATTCACTGACCTAGACCAGCTTGGGCAGAAGAAACCCCCTTTAGGAATATAAGCTGGGGGAAGAAAGGGTTAAGCGCAGCTCTGCTAAAAAAACAAAAACAAAAATGGGGGATACTGGTGGATAGGAAGCTGTAAATGAGCCAGCTGTATTTGAGCCTGGCAGCTCAGAAAGCCAACCATATCCTGGGCTGCATCAGAAGAAACATGTCCAGCACGGTGAGGAAGGTGATCCTGCCCCTCTGCTCTGTGCTGGTGAGGCCTCACCTGGGTACTGTGTCTGGATTGGGAGTCCTCAATACAGGAGAGACATGGACCCTTTGAAACACGTAAAGAGGAGGGCCACAAAAATGATCCATGGAATAGAACACCTCTCCTACGAGTACAGGCTGAGAGAGCAGAGCTGTGAGAAAAGGCTGTGAAGTGACCCGAGAGAGGATTTTCAGTATCTGAAGGGGAGCTAGAGAAAGAAGGGGACAGACTCTTTAGCAAGGTCTGTGATGACAGAATAAGTGGAAATGGCTTCAAGCTCAAACAGAGTAGATTTAGGTTGGATGTAAGGAAAAAATCTTTTACAGTAAGGATGGTGAGGCACTGGAACAGGTTGTCCAGAGATGTGGTGGATGCCCTGTCCCTAGGGACCTTTAAGGCACAGCTAGATCCCATCTAATCCCTATCTCTCTCAGCCTGTCCTTGTAGGAGAGGTGTTCCATCCCTTGGATTATTGTGGCCCTCCTCTGGGCATGCTTCAACAGGTCCATTTCTCTCCTGTACTGAGGACTCCACATCTGGACACGATACTGCTACTATATCACTTGAGCTAAAACTATTTTTGTGTGTATATGTGTGATTTTCAGTTTGGTTTTGAGAGATATGAGATTTTTATTTGTTTAAATAAGGCAAAAAATGAAAGTCTTAATTCTTGTTTCCTCAGGTATAACCAGAATGCGTTAAACTTAACTGTAGCCATTAATTTGTCAAGTATGTGTACACGTAATTCCTCACTGATGCTATAATTTTTCTGGAAAAGAGGAAGAATGGTGATGGTCTGTGAAATCATTCAATTTGCAGTTGATTTTTCCTGGAAGACACTGGCTTAACAGTGATCTGCAGCACTATAAACTTTGCAACTAAGATAGATGTGAGCTGATATGTAGTACCAACAGAGGAGAAAAAAATAGAAATAGTGCTAAGATTTTTCAAAACACAACCTCAACTTGTCTCTAAAACTAGAAATAATCAGCACTTTTAAAAACCTACCTGTTCAAGATTCACAGCATTCACTTAAAAGTCATGGGCAGAGAGCTTATTGAACAGAAAAAGAGAAGATCCGCTTAATGTCAAAAGTGTGAGAGATCTCAGAATTATGCTTAATACACTTGTGCCACATTGTTCATCTCTCTCTCTAGGCCTTCTGTTCACTCTTGTTACTTATGTTTAACTTAGAAATACTTCATTATAAAAAATCAGATTTAATGTCTGTATCTGTAAATTATCTTCTGTGGAACAAAATCCATCCAAGATTTCAGTTTATTTCTCCTGGAATCTCAAAGGTAAAATCAGTGATAACTTGCCCAGTATAAGGTGGGGTGACATACCAGCAGATAATTATGTATACAGATACTTTATACCTATGTCAAATAGATTGAATATTCAGCAAGATCTGGACAGGCTGGAGAGCTGGGCAGAAAAAAACCAGATGAGGTTTAACAAAAGCAAGTGTAGAGTCTTGCATCTGGGGAGGAATAATTGCATGCACCAGTACAGGTTGGGGGATGAGCTGCTGGAGGGGAGCCCTGCGGAAAGGGACCTGGGTGTCCTGGTGGATGACAGGTTGGCCATGAGCCAGCAGTGTGCCCTTGTGGCCAAAAAGGCCAATGGCTTACTGGGGTGCATTAAAAAGAGCGTGTCCAGCAGGTCGAAGGAGGTGATCCTCCTCCTCTACTCTGTCCTGGTAAGACCTCATCTGGAGTACTGTGTCCAGTTCTGGGCACCCCAGTACAAAAAAGACAAGGATCTCTTGGAAAGAGTCCAGCGGAGGGCCACGAAGATGGTGAAGGGCCTGGAGCATCTCTCCTATAAGGAAAGGCTGAGTGATCTGGGTCTGTTCAGCCTTGAGAAAAGGAGACTGAGAGGGGACCTGATCCAGGTCTATAAATATCTAAGGTGTGGGGGGCAGAATGGCGAGGCTGGACTGTTTTCAGTGGTGAGTGGAGACAGGACAAGGGGAAACGGCTGGAAACTGCAGCATAGGAAGTTCCGCACAAATATGCGCAAGAACTTCTTTACAGTGAGGTGACGGAGCACTGGAACAGGCTGCCCAGGGAGGTGGTGGAGTCTCCTTCTCTGGAGATGTTCAAGACCTGCCTGGATGCCTACCTGTGCGACCTGCTGTAGGGAACCTGCTTTCCCAACAGGGAGGTTGGACTCGATGATCTCTGGAGGTCCCTTCCAACCCCTACGATTCTGTGATTCTGTGAATAGCCTCCCCATCTGATCTTTTGAATATCTGTATAACTGCTAATTAGTACTGATCACTAGCAAAATGTGAAGAATTATCTAGCCTGCATGAATGCACTTTCCCCACTATCCTACTGTGTTGAAAAGACAACAGGCTCATTTTTATTATACATCAACATAATTTACCAAAAAAACTGAACAAGAAGAAAACAAAAATTATATAGTCGAATTCTTAGAGAGGAATTTATGACGAATGTAATCCATTAATTAGGATTCTAACATTTGCTTGGAACATTATTCAGATACTGGTGTGTCCTTCTGTTTAAGCACCTCTGTGTTTTTGTTGTTGTTGTCATTTTTTTAAGTAAAGCTTTCCATTAGTTCCACTGGTGCTATAATTTATACTTACTTTTAATTTCACTTGGCAATATTTTACACTGAATTACCACCGTGTATTTTACAAGATAGAATCCATTCTTCATAAAGCGAAGCCTAGGGGAAAACTATGCTCAGCAGAGGTCTCTGAACCAGTCCCAGCTGCCAAACTACTCTAAACTGTTCAGAATAATTATTTAGAGTTATTATACCATTAAATTCATATATATCTCTTAAAATAAACAAATTTCACACACTGAGGGAGACCAACAAGCAACATTCTTGCTTTTGCTGCAATCGTTTACAAATGCCAGCAAATCTTATTTGAAATGACGAGTCGTTTGTTTTGCTTAAGGAGTAGGAAACTGCGCCACTGAAATCTCCACTCAGATAAGCCAAGAACTGGCAATAACTAATTTCCTTCTCGTGCAGGGTAATTCCTGCTGCGTTGTTTTCTTACATAAGGATGCCACCTAGTGACCAACATTTTCAGCTTTTTAATTTAGGCCTAAGAAATTTATATTCTAATTCCAAACAGATATGAAGTAAATTACTCTTACTGCTTGATTAGTTTATAGGGAATCACACCCATGAATAGAAAAAAAATATTGTTATGTCTGACTCAGATAGTGATAGGCCAGATTTCTGAGCATGTGTATTCAGTGCTTATATCTAATGATATATAAATTTCCAAAAGTTATTGGCAATCAATATATCTTACAATAATTCACTACACTTGTGTAATTCATAAATGCCCTTTTGAAAATCAGTCCCTGTTCTGTTCCCATAACTTTGCCAGCAAATATTTGCCACCAGATGTACAGATCTCAGATCCTGTCCCTACTCTGGTGAATAGCTCATAGATACGAAAACAAGTCACTGCTAGGCCAGAGAAAAATAGGCTTATTTAGAATCACAGAATTATTGAATCATAGAATCCTTAGAGTTGGAAGGGACCTCTAAGAGCCATCCATTCCCTTGCCCTCTGACCACCTAAGTACTTCATCCAGCAAAATACAGACAGATGTAGCTATCACAGGTAAAGTAGAACAGATCCAGCAGTCTAAAGGGAAAGCATCTCAGCCTAATAAAACTTGTGCTTCTTTATAGAAATGAACTCTAAACTGGCAGGTGCAGTTTCTTATCTCTCCAACCAGGGAGAAAACTCCGTCTCTAAAATACTCATAAACCCCACATCTAGTTCTGGGACCAAGCAATACTCTGCTCCTTATTAACAAGACAAGTTCATATCTATAAGTGCTCAGAAGCAAACCGTGGGTCAGGGGCACATCACTGGTGAAATCTTAGGTTCTGATAAAGAGTAGGTATCTCAGGGCCAGGCACAAACTGAATTGAGAGTGAGATAATTGTGTTTAGGCACTTGATGTTACAGATGTTATTGCTCTATATGTGGTTGTCATTTTTTGTGCAAATCTATTCCAAAGACATTGCTTTTTGTCACAAAATTAAAAATTGTTGACCTCATAGTGTTTCAACTGTAAGCTCTACAGTGCTGATAGGAACAATGACTATAAACCTTTAAATTGCATGTAACTTACTGACACTTTCTCATCCCTTTTTGAGCAAACAATAGTGAGCCATGCTTATAATGTAATGTCCACAGTATTTAAGGAAATTATATCGTTATAAAGTAGAGAATTATCAAATTTGTTTGCTTGGTTTTTTATTTGTTTTATATGTGGTCTACAGGTGGTGAACTTTTTACTGGTCTCTACAGTGACTACTGGGGAAGAGATGCTGCTGTCTTTCGCACCATGAATCGTATGGCACAACTCCGAACAGAACCAGATAGTGAGCGCCTGTTGAAAGGTACGGAAAATAGGAGAAGAAGGAACATGGAACCAGTAGTGCTTTGCATGACTAGAGAAATTCTATTTATCCAGAAACTTAAATGATATTGTCCTTGCATGGCTATATCTCATTGGACATATATATTTTTAGAATATCTTTTTTTTTTTTTTTTTCCCATGAAATTTTTCATTAATCTTCTGCTACAATTAACAAACTGAAAGCTTTATTCTGATTACATATTAGCTTTAAGAACTGAAACTTCAAAATCCTCCATTTTTCACTTTTAAAAGTGTACTCTGGATGTTCCATATTATTTCATGACTCCAGATATGATTAAAATACTATTTTAAACATTTCTAATTGATTAGAATTTTAATTAGAACATGCTGCTCCTTTTTTCAATACGAGGTCATTTCCTCTTTATCTTGCAATTAAATAACTGAATCTTCAAACCACATTCTGTGCTGAAGAGGTGTTATGCAACAACATAAAATAATAAAAATGCAATGATCATACAGTCAAATGAAATAAAAATTAAGGCAGATTATTTAGAAGAAAAATAAAAAATTATTGCACAAGAAAAATCATTGAGAAAATTCCTATGCTGGAGAACTTACTTAGAAAATACTTCATGCTTTTCAACATGGAATGAAATTGAATTCAAAAGAATTTAACTTGCTTTGCAATTAAGAGCCAGACTCTGGATTTTTCTCACTCCAAAAATTTTGCAATAACTCATCCTAAAAGTGACATAACTGCAGCTAACGTTTGGTAAGGAGATTCAATAATTTTATGTTATGGTGGTTCATCTGGTGGTTCATCTTTTCAATAAACATAGCTAGGAAGGACATTTTTTCTCTCAAATATCAGGAAGGTTTTCCCTGGAACCAGAAGAGAGAGAAAAGTTTATGTATTTTTTTCCTGCATGAATTTGAAATCATAGTTGAATTCATCTTATAAAAGCGTGTTTGGAATATTATGATATCCACTGTAAGCTCAATACTTAGATCCTTGCTGAACTCAGTGTTAAGATCAGCTATACATGTAGTAACAACAACATAAATGTTTCAATATGGAAGTAAAGTTGCTCTTCTCTCTGGAAGCTGCAATTCCTTTAAGTATAGAATTCTCTGTGTTGTGCCTCAGACTTTGTTTTTAATTTACACCATATTTGACATTTAAATCTGTAACGTATTTAAATGTATATTGGAAAACGTGAGAAAATTAGCAAGCAAAAATTCTCTAGCCATATCTTAAAACAGTGGCTATTTTTTGTAAGGAACAAGAACTTAGAAAATATTTACATTACCAACTGCTTCTTAAGAAATAGTACTAATTACATGAACTACATCTGTGTAATTAACATGTAGTATTACATTCTCATTTAAAGAGTTAGTAAAAAATGTGCAACGATTCTGTGACTTTAAATCATTCATAGCTTACCATGATGCGGGGTTAAAAGTTATGGAGCACACACCAAAGTTAGTATTTAGGCTTCAACTCTGTAGCAAAATGTGAAAGCAGGAAAATCTCAGAAGGTTTTTATTTTATTTCACGACAAAAAAATACACAATGTGTCTTCTGTCTATGAAGATATGTGTTTGTATTACAATTATTAGCTGAACTTTAAATTGGCTGTTTTTCCGAAGTTAGCATTCCTGTGCATGATTTGTATGGAACCAGAGATTGTTATGTGAATACTATTGCCAGGTTTTAGCCTAACTCAAATAGAAAAACCCTGGAGAACAAAAAATGGAAAGAGATCTTTTTCTTACATACGTACATATTGACTTGTGAATCAGAGTGATAAAAATAGTTTTACTTTAATGTATTCCACATGTCCTATAGGTGTCAACATACAAATAATTTGATTTTTTCCTATTTTTACCACCCTGTTTCACTCAGGTAACTCTCCAACTGACATATTCCTGACTCTTCCAATTTCTTTTTTTCTTTGCTACCAGTCGATTGTAAGGACTGAAAAAAAATTAAAAAAAAAAAAGAAAAAATGTTTTAATGAACTTTATCTGAATTTAATTTTGTTTTCTTTCGAAGAACCAAAGTTTGTTGGCTCATACATGATTCCTGACAATGAAGATCACGACGATAACAAAGTGTATTTCTTCTTTACTGAAAAAGCATTAGAGGCTGAGACAAGCACTCATGCCATTTACACCAGAGTGGGACGTGTGTGTGTGGTGAGAACCTTTTTCTGATACCCCAGCTGAATAGGGGTAAAAAAATTAAAAAATGTATTCTCCTTTCTTTTTTCCTTCTCTCCCAGGCAATATGGCACCTGATAATGTACAGGAGATTATAGACCTGACTGAAAACCTTGCTTCTCAGTGTCCTCAAATATTATAAAATTCAAAAAAAGTCCAAAATTTAGTCTTGAAACAAATTCTCCTCTAGAGATGAAAATAAAGTTCAGAGACCCTATTATTCAATTCCATGTCTCTTTGAGTTGATATGTGATAGCAGTAAGAACAGTTCACCACAGGACTCATTTACCGTCATAGATTCTCAATTCAAACCAAGGCTCCATTGTTCCTAACACTGTCAGCAGGTCCTTCTGTATCTCTCACAGCTGACATTAACTGATGTCCCCTCATACTTCTGTTGACAGGACCAGCCCAGCCACAAGTTCTCTCTGATGCTTCCTCTCACTTTTCTACTCTGCCAGCATGAAGCAGACTTGACTCAATTGCATTTATGCAGGGTTGACAGCTATCCAACCAGATATCCTTTTGTAGCCAGTACAGGACAAGAGGCAATGGGCACTGACTGAAACATCTATATATCTATATATCTGACCATAAGAAATCACTTTTTTCTTGTATTAGAATAGTTGCACAGAGAGGTTGTGGAGTGTCTGTCCTTGGAGATATTCAAAATCCATCTGATTATGACCCTGAGTGACTTTCTGTAGAAGACTCAATTTAGCAGGCTAGTTGGACTAAAAAATATCCAAAAGTTCCTGCCAAATTCATGGTTCTGTCATTCTGGGATTCTGTAAATTTCAAATATCTTCCTGATGCATCTATAGACTGTTTCCTAAATAATAGCTAATTGCTTTTATTTAATATATAATTCCTCTTCCGCTCAACATCCTATAAGGAGGAATGTGCATAAAAAGGAAACTAGAAAAAAGGATTGAATTGTCTAGAAAAGAGAAGTTTATTTCTTAGCATCCAACTTAATTTTTGAAATAAATTGTGTTCCTTCCTAACTGTGGGAGATAATTTCCTAAAACTAATGGGCAAAGAACAAGATACAAGATAAAAAATGTTCCTTCAACCCAAAGTATACTGTGCGTCACATATGCTCACCAACATACTACTTGTTAAAATATCTTTAAATGTGTCCATATTTAACTTAAAACAGAGTATACAGAGTACCAAATAGGGCCTAAGATATTATCATTCTCATAGGCTGTTGGCTTTCTGAATTCAAGAAGGCATCAAGGCCTGAAGCCAAATTCTTTGCCCTATGTTCTGGTATATGTCAAAATAGATTATTTTGATAACTCCCTCTAGTCTGAAATATATTGACCGAAATGTCTTATCTCTAGCCAAGGGTTAGACCAAAATCCCACAGATCTTTCTCCTCCACATGTCCAAAACTCCGAATGATTTATCATCCAGACATTACCTTAACAGCCTTCACTCTGTATGCTGCACTTCAAATTTGATTTCATGAGTATAAAAAGTCAAGAGCTAGCTAGTGATTTGAGAACTTATCAGCTTTTACATTTTCATTTGTATTGTAACAGGTTTTACAACTTAGAGGCATCTATCCTGTATGTATCTTCTTTTCTAAGGAAAATGGATTTTTTTTTTTATTTTTTTTTTTAGGATGTCAATGTGAAGATGAGAAAATCCATTAATTTCAGTAGTATAAAGTTGAGAGAGGAATTTAGCAAGCCTCTTACAGAACCTTCAGTATGCACTTACACAACCTACCTCAGTATCAGGCCATAGCTACTGAGAATGCTATTTAAAGTTGAAGTCTGACTGCTGAGTTAAATGCATCATTTTATTAACAAACCCAAGAGAAAAGAAAAAAAAAAGTGTCAGCCATAGTAAAGTGGGAATTAAAGTTGCTGAAAAATTGCTAAATTGTTAGAACATCTTATAGGCACTTGCCTCAGACTTTTCCAGCTGTACCAGCTGTATAAGTTCAGGGCTTCAGTTTCCAACAATGTTCATTAAACCTTGCAATGAGTGCCTGAAGCAGAACTAAGTTTTGTTAGCGTAGTCATTACATCCAGTTAACCAAAAAGAGAAGCTTTACAACAGCTGTATTTTTAATCTATGCAGGGATGCAATACCGAATTTAACAATTCTTACAAACCCACAAGTCTTATAAGGCCTGGACTTGATCAGTGCAATCTTGCTTGCATCTTACCATCTCCAAAGCAGATGGACTGTACTAGTAATGGACATGTGGCCTGAAAATGCATGCTTTTGACATTAAGAGATACGAGAGACTAATTCAGAGGAGATGTTTGTGCTTCTAGAGTTATTTAAATTACCATAAGTGTTTGTTTCTTTTTATGCAGAATGACATGGGAGGACAGCGAATGCTTGTGAATAAATGGAGCACTTTCCTCAAAACCAGATTAGTTTGTTCTGTGCCTGGGAGAAATGGAATTGATACGCATTTTGATGAATTAGGTAAATACCCTAAACTGCAACAAACTTAAAATAATTGTAGAAAAATATGTACATTCATGATAACACATCTTAGTTTATACTGTACATGTTTTCATTAGTAGAAAACAGACATATGGAGTTGGTTGTCATCAATTATGGCTTTACTCATTGTACTGTTTTTAAAGAATGCATCTAATATCTACATTAAAAAATAGCATATATAAGTTAAATAAGATTACCCCTGCAACAAACAATGAAGTGCCTGTTTTGGGACTGAGAAAATTAGTTTGCTGTTAATAATATTTATATTTTACAGAGGATGTGTTTTTGCTGCAAACTCGTGATAACAAAAATCCAGTGATATTTGGCCTCTTCAGCACTACAAGGTAAACAACTAGAAGCAAAAATAGCAGCAGTAGAGGAATGTTTGAACAGGCTATCGAACAGACAGAAGAGCTTCATGATGAATATCACAGAGAAAATACATAGCAAACAGTTTAATCCCTGTTCTATTCACAATGGTCTTTCTTGTTAATGTAAAAACTGCTTTTTGATGGTGGCTTGAAGTCTCACATCATGATATAGTTTATCTGTTTCCCAGAAAACATGAATTAACTAAGTATTTCTCTAACTGATAATTTTCTAGTGCCAACATTTATGTACTCCTGCATGGTTATAAGAGCAGTCTATGAAAACCAACTGCCTTGAAGAGCTCCACTGTAATTCAGCATCAAGTAGATAGTAGCTTAAATTCCTGTTAACTTCTTAGCATAACCTAAATCATTAGCTGTGGTGTTGCTGGTGGCCTCCTTTTCCAAATCAGTGTAATCCAAGTGCAAGCTTGTTTCTTGGAGATCTAACTTTAGGATGTAACTGATAGAGAGGAGCAGCTATGCTATGGCCAGTATTTTGCTTTGTTGTTTCATTGTTTTTTAAGAAAGATGGACAGATATAGTCCTCTAAGGAAATTTCCACATATCAGTTCTTGCTGGCTCACTATGCAAGCAGGAAGAGGTGAACACCTAACTAAAATTATCTGGATCACCTTCTGGAGACTTCAGAGAGAACTGTTTTGCAAGAAGCATTGATGCTTCTTTAAAAATAATAAATTGCTTCTCCAGAACTAAGAGTGTCAGATGTATAAAATTTGAAAGGAAAAAGATATTATATGTAGATTGATCTACACAGATTAGTCTTTATGATCTAATAATTCTGACCAGCATTCCCATACACTGACACAAAGACATAAAAGACCTGAGTTGAGTTTTTTGAGTTTCCTGCCATTCCTCTCTCATATTTAGAGGCTGCGATCATCAGCCTGAAATTTAGAGATAAAAGCACTGAGCTTTCTCAGAGAAGTATTATAAACATATATATATATTAATATTTTATAAACAACACTGCATATAGTAGTTGCAAGAAAAGCATACAGTACTTTTTCTTTCTGAATACTGTTGATGTGAGACTTCTTCTAATTACATAATAATACCAGTATAACATGTAGCAAATACAGCATACTGTTTTAACAATGTCTCTGAATTTTACTTCATAGCAATATATTTAGGGGATATGCTATATGTGTTTACCATATGGCAAGCGTCCGAGCAGCCTTCAATGGACCATATGCTCATAAAGAAGGACCAGAATACCACTGGGCTCTATACGAAGGGAAAGTACCTTATCCTAGACCTGGTTCAGTAAGTACAATCTATTTTCCATGCTTTTGTTAATGTAAATGAACTTAGGAAGAAAAAGCAGTTAAATATACAGGATTTTTCAAAATCTTACTGGGACCTAAATTCAGCAATTTTGTGTTAAGGGCCCAATATCCTGAAGATAAAAGAAAATGGAAGGGAAGGAAAAGGGAAGAGGAAAGGGGAAATGGAAAGGGAAAGGGAAAAGAAAGGGAAGAAAAAGAAGTTTCTGAAGTTTTTATTTTTGTCATATACTTAGCCCAGGAATTTCATGTCCTACCTCAGTGGGGAGGAGATCAGTGGTGCGTGAGGGTGCCTTTTGCATTGCGGGCATCCATCATCACTTCACAGATTGTGCACATCCAGGGCCTCCTTCACCTTCCCCTTCCTGCTGTAAGTCCTACAACAGGCAATGCCAGAATAACCCAGAGAGAAACATTACTGTTTCTTCTTGTCCAATGTCTTTTGGCAATACGACCTACAAAGGAGCTTTTCTTTACAGTCATTGAAGTTCTATCCTTTAATGTGTCCATATTGTGCAGATATTTTATTCTGTGAGATGCAAAGACGTTTCTAATAGCTGTGTGGCTAAAACCCACACATAGCTTTCACAGTTCACCTCTTTTATCTTCTCACAGGCTAAGAACTTGCTCTATTGAGCTTAACGGTGGAATAAGCAGTTGCTGAAGCATTACTTTCAGTGTTGTTTTTCCTCCTATAACTGAATCAATATTCTCTTTTGCACTAAAAGCAATCATTTGCAGAAGTAAACATTTATCCCCAAATCACAGGAATGAGAGATTAAAAGGCCTATTAGCTTATCTAGTCCATGCCAGTACAAATTTTCTCTCTGCAGTACAATTTTAAATGCCTACCTCTCTTATTTTAAATTACTGTTTATGTCTTCTTCTACTGGAGTTAGAGAAATAAGTCGAAGTACAGAATTGGATGCTAAAAAAGAGATTATCTCGGGTTCAAATGTTATCATTTGACCATTTTGACCACTGCAATTGTGCTGATACCAATACCAAATGTTGGGTTTGTTTTTTGTTTGTTTGTTTTTTGTTTTTTGTTTGTTTGTTGTTTTTTTTATTACTTAATTGAAGTAAAATGAAATTGATTGAAGTAAATCATCAGTATTGAGTCAGAATGGAAAAACAGATAAATGTTTATCAAATTTTGAGCAAAACACTATAATTCAAAGCTATTAAAGTTTTCTTCTTTGACATATTTAATAGAAAATTTCAGTTTTTACAGTTTTACCAAGTAATGAGATAATATTATGCATGGATTGTAAAATGAGTGTATATTTTACAAAGATGACATGATACAAATTCTCTAAGTAGTATTCATTTTATCTGCAGGCAGTAAACCTCTCATACGTTGTTTCAGCTGGAGCTGAAATAGGCAGGAATTCAGTATTAATGGCTACAGTAGCACATAGATAGCATTACTTTTATTGAAGATTGAAAACCATTTGTTGGCAAGAAGGACAGAGCGTAGAGCCAGCAATTGAGCAAAGCTGACAATGATTTACAGAAAGACTCTATTAAGATCCACTCAGAATCAATTCTTCCTTGGCTCTGAATACCCACATTTCTTTCATAGTAGATTGAAGACTCCCTAACAGGCACAGCACAGGAGCTGAAGCAGATATAAAAAAAGAGAGCAAATAATTTTCCCAAAAGAAGTATTTCTCGAGTATTAATCAGTTAATCATATTTGTCATGTTGCAGAGCACATCACAGGCTGGAGTGGCTGACTATGCCAGCTAATAGAAAATTAATTCATTTTTGGCTGCTCATCAAGGGTACAGCTTAGAGGTCTTTTCAACACCTTTCCAGTAGCAAGAAGTGAAACTGTAGTCCATAATCTGTTTCCAAAGAACAGGTCAGTGTATTGGTAAGGTGAATCATAGAATTGTTTGAGTTAGAGGGGACCTTAAAGGTCATCCAGTCCAACTCCCAACTACCTATTACCTTTTCCATTACAAAGGTGACAGTGACAAGAGGCCAGAAATACCTATTATTAGGCATCTCTGTGATTCAGCACTCTTTCATCTCAGCTATTGAATGGGAAAAAAATGGAGTCTATAAGGAATAAGAAATAGCTAAGAGCTAAATAAATAGAAAATCACTGCTAGAATTGCAGTCTGACAGATTTTATAGTTTGCTACTCTGAATTCTCCTTAAAGCACTGTTTGGTGGTTGGTTTTTTTTTTTTTTTTTTTTTTTTTTTTTTTTTTCCCCCAATATTCTAGGTTGCTATTCAAACAATTTGCTTAATGTATTAAGACAGTGATGCTTCTGAAAAAGACATCAGTTACCTCAAAAACAGTTCTCATAGATTTCAGAGATGGCTGCATCTCCTGTTTCAATTCCAGACTAGCAGATTTTATTTAATTAAAAACAAGAAGCCTGCAAAAGATTATTAAATCTCTCTAAGACTGGAACTTCACAAAGGGAAGTTGACAATCCCTATTCATTTGATATGCTATTCAGTGCATGGAAAGCAGAGGCTTAGCCTATCTTCAAGCTCCTGCTCTGTCTCTGCATGGTAAATAGCCACTAAAACTCCATCATTAGGTGGATTATGTAATTACTTTAAAGTCAACACTGAACAAATACTTTCCTGAAGCTAAGCCCAAAAATTAAAAACAACCATTGCCCCATTTGAGAAGAGCAGGAGTTTGTTCTTGTCAATTGCAGCTGGCAGCAAGTTTAAAATTACTGTTTCTGGCAAACAATGAGTATTTTATTTCATTTTATTGATTGAAAAAGTCCAGTTTAAGCAGGGAGATGCTGCTAATGTGGCTTTGCTTGAAATGCTTCTTAAAACCACACTGCCTTATGAATATTTGGAGAAAGTAAATGGTTACTGAGATATTTCCAGCTTAATCATAAATGGTTCCAACTAGACATGAAGTAAACTCAAAATGTAGAATCTATGTGCAGTTAAGGAACACCACATCCTTTGCAAAGCACCCTAAAGTTAACTTCTCTATTTAACACATTAAATTATCCCTAATTGCACACTTGACCAAAGGAATAAGCCTCTTTTAATCAGTCATTCACATGAAGTGTATTTGCTTTACAAAATGGTAGACTGATCAATGCAAACACTGGTATTTCGTACTAAAGCATGATATATAATACCTTAATCATGAGATAGAAATTAGAATAAAATTTAATACTTTTAAAATAGTGGAGATCAAGAACTGCTGTTCCCACTGGCATAATTTTTAGTCGTGCTTAGTATATTACGATAAAGTATTTTGCAATCACAAAGCAATTAAACTAGAGATTGATTTCAAAAATTACTTCTCTGATGACTTTGGACAACTATCTATCTTCTGGAGTAGGAAACCCCTTTCTCCTACCTCTGTCAATGGCCATTTTGATTACAACTTCAATATAAATCTGAGAATGAAACAAATGCTTTTTTTTTTTTTTTTGCCAAAATCTTAATGCATCAATATTTAGTCTGCTCTTACTATACCAGACAGGAAGGAGTCTCTAAACATGGGATTGCCAAGGCCAAGGCTCTTCTCAGCAGATTAATGGACCTTGACTGGCTTCTCATGATTCATAATTCACACATGCATAAAGCATAGACTTCACAGTCACAGATCCTAGTGTTTTTCTGTGCCTATTATAATGCCAGGTTTTCTGTGCAGACCTGTCATCACCCCTATGAACAATTCTAGTCTCAGATAATTTACTTGGCAAACCTTCAGGATAATCCGTGTTTTCTGTTTTTGCAGTGTGCCAGCAAAGTGAATGGTGGTCTGTACACTACCACCAAAGACTATCCTGATGAAGCTGTCCATTTTGCCAGGAGTCATCCATTGATGTATCAGCCCATCAAGCCTGTTCATAAGAGACCAATTCTAGTAAAAGCAGACGGGAAGTACAACCTTAAGCAAATAGCTGTGGACAGAGTGGAAGCTGAAGACGGGCAATATGATGTGTTGTTCATTGGCACAGGTAAAATAAAGAAAACTACAAATACAACTGTTTCAATAGGTTTTTGAAGTCCAGGATGAAGGAAATTTTCTAAAGTAAAAAAAAAAAAAAGCATTACAACAGCCCTTTCTGTCAATAACTCTGGTCTTGACTGAGCCAAACTGCACTCATAACCTTACAGAAGAGGGTGGTCATTCTACACTGCTGATACTTCACAGAAAAATTATGGTAGGAAAAACTTCTAAAGAATAAGAACAGAGACTAAAGTATAGAATTTACCAGCAACATCATCCCAGAAAAGTAATCTTGATACAATTTCTGGAATTTTTAAAACTTCACAACACAGTCATGTATCTAAACATTCTCAGCTGGGATTTAGATTCTGGGAGAAACACAGGTGATATGATCTTCAAAAACATCAGTTCAAGTTTATTCCAATTTTTATCTTTCCCATTTCTGCAGTCCACAAGTCTGTCTAATATTGTTAAAAAGAAACTGACAGCTTCTAGGCTTGGGTTTTGACACAGCTGAAGGAAGGAAGGTAGGTATACTCAAGTGTATAGTTAAAAAAATATATATTAGAAAATTTCTGCCAAGTTTTCTTGTCTTTCCATTACACTGTTTTCAAAATTTACAGAGAGCTTATTTAAACTGAATTTTTTAAACACCTACCAAAAGTAAGTATAAGATAAATTACATTACAGGGGTATGGTACAGAGTTGCTGTAACCCTAAGCAGCTAGAGAAGAAAAAAAGCACATTCTAATGGTATTTGAAAAATAAGAAGCCTTCAAAAAATAAGAGCAAAACTTAGAACTAAAGATGACTGGTCATGTCTAATCTGCTTGGAAAAAATCCAAGGATTCATATATTCAGATTTTATCAAGTTGACAACAGGAGTGGTGACACAGATCATTTTGACTATTTTGACTAGGCAAGCATATACTGAGAATTATTTTTTACTTAATGAAATGCCTCTGATAAGCACTTTTCAGTGCTGAAAACACTCAGAAGAAGCATACTCATAGAACAGCAAAAGCTTATTTATACTAGTTATGTACTCCAAGCTTTTAAATTGCCTCAGTACAGTCTCAGCACTGGATTTAGTGTGGTCTATAAAACATTGTGTCATATATCACCTATGTCTCTAATGCAGATTTAATAATAGTTACTAGGTTTTTCATATTTATCACTCTTGCATTTATGATTGAGATGTCAGATATTTGTACACAAGTCCTCTACTCAGCAAAGTTGAAACTAATGAGACTTAAGTACGCACTTCAGGGTTGTTCTGAACTGGCACCCAACAGCTGCTTAGTTTTGAGATGTCCAATCTCAGATGACAAGAAATTTCATCATAGGAATTTGACCTTTAGAAACTGTAAGTCAATTTCTTCAATCTATGTTCTGGCAAAGTTCCCATCAGGAAGCTCCCTGCTTCTCTTGACAATATAATATTAGAAAGAGTTAATCCTCTTTTATCTGACTCCAGCACCTTCTATGTAATATTTGTAAGCAGTCTTAAAGCTCAGCAGAAGCTTCCTTGAGGCAGAACTGCATATTAGAAAAGTTTTTCAAAGCAGAAGTGTGAACACCCGGACTAACTTTCCACATATCTGTCAGCAATATTGAAGAATCATAGAATCTTTACTGCTGGAAATAGCCTGTAGGATCATCTGTTCAACCATCCACTCATCACCAGTATTACCCACTAAGTCCCTGAGTACCATGACAGTAAACAAGAATTACTTATGGAAATCTGAACTCAAACTGTATTTTTTTTACTGATTCATCACAAAATGTATGTCCTTAGATATTCTCTTTGAGAAGAAGTTCCCCTTTATGTTTGCATCTTTGATCTTTTGCTGAACATTTTTTTCCATTCTTTGTCTGCTCAATATTTCACCTGTAAATCAAAGGTGACAGAAAGTAACATAAGAAAGGAGTTGGTAGCTGCCATTGTTGATGACAAATTTTCAGATTAAGGAAAGTAAAATGCTTTAATAACAGTCAACAAGAAAAAGCTGAAACGGTGGAAGATCAGACGACATTCTTGTGTTTTAATTTCCTAAAAGAGTTGTGCTGACAAATAGACCAATAGATCTAAATTTCAAGGTGCCTTAAATTTTCTGAAAGTATAATTTATATTTGCTTATCTTTCTTTTATTAACACCTTCAGCTCAACAGCAGTTCAGTGAGAGAAAGAGGACTGCATATAAGGAATCCTTGAATTTGTTGGTGTTCTTGCCTGGAAGAATGGAGCAGCTGTGAGAAATTAAGGATAGTTAGTAGTTTCCTAACTAGTGTCAAACTCAAGTCCTATAATTAAAACCACTTAACACTCCCATGACTTGATGGACTCCCCTTCCTGCTGTAATTTCTTTATCTCAGACATGATCGCTGTTTTTGTTCCTTTTGCAGATCACCAAGTGTTACGACCCAGACTTTGAAAACTACTAGCTAATTTATCGTGTATCTCAGGGATGTCTCAGATGGCTTAGTTGCCAGATAGGCCAGAGCATGTCACGGTGTCTTTGGAACATATTAGTATATATGATTATTTCCTAAGATTAATATGTGTGTCCTGTAGCAGTTATTTAATGTCTTTGAAGGCCAAATAAAAGTTTCCATAATTTCTATTCCAGCATTTTTATATATTTTTTTTTTCCCCAGATAATGGAATTGTGTTGAAAGTCATTACAATTTACAATCAAGAGACAGAATCAATGGAAGAAGTGATTCTTGAAGAGCTGCAAGTATTCAAGGTGAACCATGCTGCATATGAAGCATATTTAAAACTGTCTTAAAAAATTTTCAGTTAATTTTTTAAAAATGTGAAAAACATCACATAGCAGTTGTCTGCAATAATTTTTCTAATTGTCTATTTTAAGACACAAATTCTTCATTTTCTGCTGTTTTTTTCAATAAACTTGTTAGGAACTATGTTTTGCTATTGCTCTAGGAAATCTGAACAGAGGGCAGAGAAAAGTATGAAAAGAAATTCCTGTTATTTTTAGTCTTATTTTCAATTAATGTTTTGTTATGAAGAACATTCCACTTATCACTTTCATTTAGGACAAAATTGATGGCTTGAGATAATATTATGTTTGACAGGAAAACTATAGTGTTCCTGTGACTCTTATAATTCTGAAATAAGTGTTGGCTTGTCATTTTTAAATAAACCATTTTAAAGCAGTACTTCCCAAAACTACAATTTCCTCCCATCTTTCTGTAGGATCAGAAATTAGAAAAAATGAAAGTATCTAGCAGTGATGAATACAAGTAAACATCAATGCTATTTTGCCTAATTTATTCTCATAAGTGAAGCCACGTTATTTTTTCTAAGCAAAGTTGTTTCCTACTTTCTAGGTGCCAATTCCTATTATTTCCATGGAAATCTCTTCAAAAAGGGTAAGTGATGTGTTTCACATACAAAAATTGTGACTCAGATGTAATAAAGCTAAAAACATCAGGTTAGACAGATAAATAGATAGATAGACAGACAGACAGATAGGGATCTAGCTGCACACAATCTCTAACAAGATCTGGTCTGAAAACATGAAATTGTTGTGTAATGCAAGTTCTGATTTTTGTTCCTTTATGAAGCATTTATGTTTTCCAATTCTAAGATTAAATCTGTTAAATCAGTCTCTGTATTTCACATGTATTGTTCACGCAAAAACAAGTAAAAAAAGCAATTCGATCCATGAGAGATTGGCAGAGACTCACTGTAGGGATTATCTGGGTAGATATGACAACTCAAGGAAAAGCTCCTTGCTGATAAATGCAATATAGACTTCAGCTCTATGGCAATCTAAGTTCTAAATAAGCCTTAGTGGATGTCTCATATATTCAGTTGCCAATGAAGGCAGAGCTGTTTGGACCTGACCACCTTCAGAGTTTCTGCTAGCCTCTCCTAATACAAATACTTCAGTTACTGTTCTTGTAAATAGATACTCATCTGTACCCTATCGTAGATATAGACCAATCTCAGGATGGAGCATTATAAACATCCCAGGATGCTTATTTCTTAATGTAGACAACTATTGCAATGTAAGTGCATAGAAATGCAGTGAAACAAAACTGACAAAGAAGGAAGATTGCTTCAGTAGTAGGTTGATTGTACCCCAAAGGTCATTTTAGTTTTAGTGGCTAGTCAACTTGCATTTTTTTGTAGTTAATGTAGAAAGACAAACTCCTCTGATAATGATTTGGGTGAGGATCCTAACTTAATGTTTTTTTCTAAATTATTTCCTGGATCAATTTATTTTTTCCATAGACTTTGAAAGGAGCTCCGGAGACTGGGTTTCCTAACATTGGAACTAAGTGAATGTTTTGTAGAATCACAGAATAGTTTGAGCTGGAAGGGAGCTTGGAAAAAAAGTATCATTTCAGATATTTCCTTATTTGCACTCAGAAATGTCATAGTAAACGGATTGTGCTGGAAGACTGAGAAGGAGATACTGTATTAAAAGAGAAGTAGTCTGCCTCCATTATACCCAATTCCCAAGAGGTCTGCTAACTCTACAGTTTCAAGAAGCACCTGGAAACTATGGAGAGAATAGTAGAAGAGTCATCAAAACTATTCAGTAGTTGAATAATAAACGTCCCTGCAGGCAGCAAAAGCAGCTGTACTTTTTCAACATATTAAAGAGAAGAGGGAGAGACAATTGGGCATCCAGACAGAATTTTACCCAACCTAGAAACTTGCTGTTGTAGCAAAGGAGGGGGAAGGCTTTGAACACTGATTTCAAAGCAATAAAAGTAAATTCAAATTTCTCAATATAGACAAATTTAATCTAGAAATAGCATACAGTTTGCTGGCACTAGGGAAAATTAAATGTTGGAATGCGTGTAAAGGGCTGGAACAAAATCATTTTGTATTTAATATTAGATTTGTGCACAGAAGTATAATTTAGTTAGTTATAATTTATGTGAAAAAAAAAGTTATGCAATTTTTCTGCGCAAATATTTTTTCTAGTCTGCTTTAACTGTGGAGTTTGTGAGCCTAGCCTATAGGGATCTCTTGCTAGCTTTGTTTCAACAACCCCATAGCATTCACTAGTCTTTACTATGCCAGTGATATAATAAAATATCTTATTTCAGGCTTGAGCTGTTTATCTTTGTGGCTAGGAGAGAATGTTCTCCTTTGATGTTCTGTTTGCTAAATATCAGATGCTTTTTGCTGTTCTCTAATGAAACAAGCTGTACAGTAGATCTTACTCTTTTTAACAGATGAAAGAGAAAATTCCACTTTTCATGTGTCATTGAATGTGCTGTTCACATCTTCTGGGACAGTCGTGTTGCAGCTTTGGCAGAAGAGAAAGAATTCCCCTCTAACAAGGATCTTATGTTTAGTTATCAGATTGAGTTCCTGTTTATCTGTATTATCTCAGCTGAAAAAGAATTCGAACATTGCTGTTACCAGCCTCTCTGGTCTCTTCCACGGACATTTCTGAGAGTTAAAATTAGTAACCTAAAATATAGAAGAGGTGTAACCAGGGACAAGATTTAACTATTAAGATTAAATTTCATGGTTTGTGATAGGCAAGCCTGGTTAAATGAGCTAACTGCATTTTCCGGCTTTAAACAATTTTAATATAGCATTCTGAAAGCTTGTGCTTTGTTTGGCCATTTGGATAAACCCAGCCCAGTGTTCATAAGGAATCCTTTTTCTGATTGGGAAAACAGTGGAATTGAGCCATGCAAAAGCAGTTCCTATTGCAGTGCATATTTCTGAGTTCAGTCCATTTTCAGTCACCAGTAACAAGATTTTTCTCAAATCCCTGTAAACTCAAGATGTTCTTTTTTGAATTATCCCATCAACTTCTGAATCACACTGATCATATTTCATTTGCTTTGTAAAGGAAAACTTACATGACTCAAGCACTCTTAGTGTTAATGCTGAGGAAAAAAAAAAAAAAAAAAGTGTGAAGAAGATAAAGTGTGACCAGTTTATTCGTAAGAAAAGACTGAACACTAGCAGAAAAAATATCAACATCCTTTGTACTGAAGGATTATATAAATCATAGAGCTGCAGTGCATTTGTATATGTGAACATATTGTACATCAAGAGTTAAATATGTACCTGATAACTCCAGTTTTAAGATTGAGGTTGCTTACAACTTTTTCAAATATGATCTTTTATTAATATTGTATGTCAAGCTTTTTTTTTGCAGATTGGTTAGGTGACAGAAGTGTAAGGAGGGAAGCACTGGAAACTACCTTGAGGAAGAAAAAGAAATGTATAAGTCTCTGTTTAAACACAAAGCTTACAAAGCTGAAACTTCAAAAGCGAGGAAATGCCAAACCATATTTGTTCATTCTAATTTCCTTCTATTCCTCCATCCTCATGCATGAGAGCTTAGACTGTTGACAGTTTTCCTACAGAGTAACTCTGCCTCCCTCAGGTCACAGACTGGATGCACAACAAAGCTGAAACTAGTATTTCTTTAAAACTCCACTCGTTACAGAAGTCATATTGGAAGTTCTAGCAACTTAATCATATGTGTTATACTTTTCCAGCAACAGCTCTACATTGGAACTGAATCAGTTATAGCACAAGTGAAGTTTCACCAGTGCGACATGTATGGCACAGCCTGTGCTGACTGCTGCCTGGCTCGAGATCCCTACTGTGCTTGGGATGGCATCTCTTGCTCCCGGTATTACCCCACAGGAATACAGGCAAAGAGGTGAGAACTGCTTCTTTCTGTGGAATCTGTCTTGTGAAATAGGTTTAGAATGGTTCCTAATACACTGAAGGATTTTTACAAAAGATGAAGCCCGAAGTTTTGAACTAAATGTGTACCATAGACAAATTACATGAATAAACCATAGATGATGGGAATAATATGTGAGTATACATATAATAAAAAGCAAGATAGGACAAGGTAATTAGTTATGATGTGTAGAAATTGTGGAACCTGAGCATGATGTAAATAGTATGGAATAAGGGGGGGATATTGTCTTAATTTCAGCTGGAACAGAATTCTTTTCTTCTGAGTCTCAGATATGATGCAATGTTTTGGTTCTAGCAGAAGAACAATGTTGATACCACATCAATATTTATAGCTGCTGCTAAGCATTGTTGTACAGAGCCAAGGTCATTCTCAGTGAAGGGCCCAAAGAGTTGGGAGGAAACAGAATTACAACAGCTAACATAAACTGGCCAAAGGGATATTCCATACTATATGACATTATGCAGGAGTTTTAAAGGGGTGGAAGTTCATATAGCTCTCTTCCACTGCTCAGAGAGCTGCCTGGACATCAGCTGGGGGGTGGTGAGTAATTTCTTTTGCCTCACTTGTTATTTAAATTTGTCATAACTATTATGCTTTTCCTTTTCTCTATCTTAGTGAGTAGTTTTGTCTCAATCCACAAGTTCTACTTTGTTTTTTGTTTTTATTCTCTCCCCCATCCCAGTGTGAAGGGGGAGAGTGAGCGAACAACTGTGTGGTGCTCAGCCACCTGCCAGGTTAAACCACAACAGGCATAAACTGCATTACAAGGAATAATTCATGAATGAAACATATTTATTATGAATTCATGAATGAGACTTTATTATTTTGACTACTTAGTTGTTATTTTAAGAAAGTTTTAAACAAACCTCAATTTCCTTTCATTTCTTTTGGTCAGCAAAGAAAAGATGGATGTTTCATTCTTTATAACATCAGGGATGTATTTTGGCAGTATGTATACGGTAAAGATATCACAAAGCAATAACATATTTAACAAAATTTGGGGAAAAGAAAAAAAGAAGAAGAAAAATAAACAAGAATCTGGTAGCCACACACTTCCAACAGTGAAAGTAGGATGTCTGCAAAAGCTGAGGTTAGGTGAATTTATAAATTCAGATTGTTCTGGAGGTCCACTCAAATCATGAACCTAACTTGGGTGCTTTAACAACCCCGGGCAGACTTCTCTTCATTCCAAATTGCTCTTTCATGACTTCTGGCCCCCATTCTTTGTGCAGTGATTTCCCATATACCTATCATCTTACCCTCCCTCTCAAACCCAGGTTCTCTAATTCAACAACAAGGACACCTGATCTAACATATAAAACATGTATAATTTAATCCAGACCTTTTCACAGCACTTCTAAAAGATAGCAAATGCAGAAATTGTTGGATAAGGTGGCTTTTTGAGAACTGAGCATTAAAAAGTCAAAAGGAGAAATACAGCCAATGCTAGCATACTTCAAAATATCCTGGAGTTATTACACTGAGGGGCAGGTAGGAAACCTGTGCCACTTTTACAAGATTATATAGTCTTCTCGTGTCTCTTGCAAGCAGCCCTATGGGAGGACATAGACTCTGGTTTCCTGCTCCATATGAGAAGACCTTGGCATGAAATTAAGAAAGATGAGCAGATGGGCCAAGCAGATTTATGTCCTACAATGTATATATATAAATTGGATTACTGTAATTATAATGCTTATGGGTAAGTTATCTAAGTCATAAAAACCATCTGGAGAAGAGAGTAAAGGGATAAAAGGCTGGCTTTTCTACCAGCCTGCTTAGGCTGCACTCACATTTATGTTATTCTGCAGGTTGTTTATTGTCCATGAAAAGATAAGAGAAACTTGCTCACTCCTTAACTCAGTTTTAGCACATTTTTAGCATATTTCTCACCTAAGACAACTTCCAGAGTAGCAGCCCCTAAGTTCCCTGACAGATGCATTTATCCAGGGTTCAGTGATATGGGCAGTACCCCAGGCACCTTCATGTGCCTTGCCTCCCTAGCATTCATCAGGTCAGTCTCCAAAAGAAGAAAATACTTCTCTTATCACCCTCCTGCTCTCGTGATAAGAGCTGCAGAAGTGAAGAAGAGATTTACACTCTATTGAATGTTCTCAAGGTCTGTAAAACTTATTTTGCATGTAAGGGTTTGGAGAACAGCCAGCAAGGACCCCTAATATTGAAAAGAATAGATAGTATTTTCTTTGTTCACTTTAACTAGCTCAGAACATCTTCATAGTTATGAGCTGTGCAGTAGATGGCAAAGTGAAGAGAGCTCCTCAGGACACACATACAGAAGTTGTTTAATCTACCTTCTGCTGGGATCCAGATGGAACCATTGCTAGGAAGGGAAGATCTCATGAGACAACATGGAGTTTTCTATTTCTTGGTTATAAGAGTTATCATTTCCTCAGGTGATAATCCTGCCATTGCTCCAGACACAACCGATGCTACACCCCAGAGTAGACACCTCTTTATTTGCCTTAGCCTTGTCTTAGAGTATGGTTTAGACTTTTGTACTAGTTGTATAGGGTGGGCTTCTGAATTGTAAGAGCAGCTGTTGCTAGAGCAGTAAAGAGCACTAAGAGATCTCTTTTAATTCCTGTCTTACTGGTGTTAACTGAAGATACACAGTATATCCTGCTCCCATTTGTTCACATGCTCTCTGCTTTAGAGCTTAATGCCTGCAAGGTATGAGAAGTGTTTAGAGAAGCATGAAACAGAAAACCTGTAAACTAAGGCACATGCAGGATGTAGAGAACTGCAGCAGAAATTTGAAAAACAAAAAACAAAAAAACACAGAACACATAAGCAACCCACTGGTTGGCAGCTGGTACTAATTTATTTGATTTTGAAAGACTGTATTTTAATTCCTTGGAAATGCATAGTCTTTATAATTAATTAAATATGGGACTTAATTAGGGAGACTTAAAAACTGAGCTAAGAGTCCCATAACCCAGTGCTGGCAGTGCAGAACATTACAGTGTCACAGTAGTTACAGGTGAGCAACTCTGGCATGCTGCAGATATTTTAGATGCCAGAAAAAAAAATATTTTGCATTTAACTTCAATGCAATATTCTTTGGAAAGCAGAGTTCCAGGATTTAAATAGCTCTCTTAGTTCACTGTTACCTCAGTAATCTGATTTAGGCAGGTTCAGTTTTTATCCAAACAAGCACTAAATTCCACTGATGAGCTTATTCGCTATGCCAACAATTTAGGATTTTTCCTAAGTCTCCGTATTGCTGCTGCAATACGGTTTTCCTTTCACAGCATTGATCAAGCTGATAGGCAAAAGAATATTTCAAGCATTCAGTTGCTTTTTAAGTTTCTTCTTATAATGCCTTGAAAAATATCTTAAATTGTCTTGCCTTAAATTATATGCTGTCATTTGAGTAAAACGCTTTGCACAGAAAGGGTGATAACTTAAATGTCACTCTGCTGACACTCTGTTGTCACTGCTCCCCATTCTTTCCTATTCTTGAAACAGCACTGAAGTGAAGGTACAGGTAAATGCATCTTCCCTCATCTCCGTCAAAATGCCACCAAAGAAATATTTATTTCTCCTGAATGGCTCCAACAACTGGAAAAATATTGTTATTTTGCAGAACTAGGATTTTTTTAGTTCATCAGGAAGAGTACTAAGTACCTACCTACTCACTGTCCATTTCCTATCAAACAGTGCTGCCTCACAGTGAGGTTTTCATCTTTGTTTTTTTCAAGGTTAATGTCAATTTTATTTGTGCATATTTGTGCAAGAGAATGACTCTTATGAATAATCTATATACACTGATATGCAAAGCTGGTAGTACTACCACTAACACTTAACAGAGTTATCAGTAAGCACAGCTACCACATCTTTACATTAAAATGAAAAATCCCAGAATGAATTAAATGCTATCACTGAATATCAGCTTCTGTTCAAAAGCATGGATTTTTAACACCTAGTCTGCCTAGAGGTCCCCATGTTGTCCTTGCTGAATTTGGAGATTCTACCACATGCCTTATTATGCTCACATCCACTGTTTGGTCTCCATAAATTTCCAGTAATCATTGATGGGTGCAGTATTTTCCACACAGAGGAATTCAGTGACACACTTTTGCTTCATACGTACTTCCACATCAGGTATCATTCTGTCAGACTGCCTCTCTGGTGCCATCTGTCTCACAGCAACAAAATGTAGTGGAATACAGGCAGGAAGGTTGATCTCTACTTCCATACTACCAATATCCACCTCTGACATTGTGGGCCAACATCATAAAATAGAAGGAGGTCCTAATAATTTCAATAAAGTCTATCTGAGCCTATTATTAAATCTGCCTTGTGTGTATTCATATAGAGTTGTTTGAAACAAAGAATCATAGAATCCTTGGAATGCCCAGGTTGGAAATGGCCTCTGAGATCATCTAACCTTTCATGATAAGTGCAGGACCTAGGCAAGACTGTCTAACACGTTGTCTAGATGAACTTTAAAAGCCTCCTCTGTTGGAAGATCTTTTTTTTTTTCTTATAGATGCAATCATACGTAGGTTGAGATAAAACATAAATGAGTATCTTTCTCAAAAGTGCTACATTTTTAGGAACCAAGATTTAGCTCTTTATGTTTTTAGTGAATACCTCCTCATCATACACCAACAATCTGTGTGCCAAGCACATTTTCTCAAGGAATTTTATTTTTCTTCTCCAGACGCTTCCGCAGACAAGATGTACGACATGGAAATGCAGCTCAGCAGTGCTTTGGTCAGCAGTTCATTGGTAATCTACTCACACCTTTACAAACTGTTAGCAAATACCTGGCACAGAAAGTACAGATTTTGCCAAAAGGCAAAAGGCTATGCGTTGTCATTTTTATCCAGATAAAAGATTTAATTTGTGGTTATACTTGAACATATATTATATCCTTCTGTTTAAGTGACTGAAAATCAAGTAGCTGAACAGCTGATAAGAAACAGCCACAAGCAAATAGCAGTATGAAGGGCTGAGACCTGTTTCTTTGTGTGTGGAATCATGGCCCAATTTGCTCCACTTGCTTTATGGCCATCTTCTATGAGAGTCTGAGATGATGGGAAAATTCTCTTAGCAAGTCAGACTTTCACCAGGTGCTGCTTAGCAATAACTATGTGATTGGATGTAGATTAAATTTCAGTCTTAAAAGTAAGTCCAGCCTGAAGTCAGAAGGTGGCAAGAACTGTCAGAAACAAATTGACGTATATATGATGTATTTTTTAAAACATTTCCCTCCAGGAGAAGTCTTAGAGAAGACTGAGGAGAGATTGGTTTATGGAATAGAGTACAACAGCACCCTTCTGGAGTGCACCCCTCGAACCTTACAGGCAAAAGTAATCTGGTTTGTCCAGCGAGCCCATGAAACTAAGAAGGAAGAGGTAACTACCATTAAATCCTAATCTTTTAATTAGTTAAGCATGTGGTTAGGAACATTGCATCTTCACTGGAAAGCCTGTCATCAGTTGCTGAAATGTGCATGAGTATAAAGGAAGATCATGATATTCATCTGAGTCATTATGCTTCACTGAGTTAATATACCTGGTCATTTCATTTGGTGCATGAGTTCAGCATCATGAAATTGAATAACTGAATAAATATTTGAAATGTAGCTAAACTTGTTAAGGTCTCAAAACAAAAGAGAATCTACCATTTCACTTAATATGTTATCGCATAGGTGAAAAGTGTACATATTACTCCCAATGTTAGACTTGCTTAGCATTTGTTAATTCTTGCTGCCCCACCCATTACATCACAAAGCCTTCTGAAAATGGATTTTGGTGATTCTCTGCTTCTTTTATATATGTTGCCTAATTGTAAAAGTTGGACCAGATGGCCTTTAAAGGTCCCTTTCAATTCAAACAATTCTCTGATTCTATGATAATTCCTACACCACATAACTGTTACCATAGTACTGACATGGTACATATCAGTGTAGCTAGCCTTGTTTAGTATATGGTAGCAAATAGGAGAAAAACCTCGGACTATCACAGGGTATAACTGTTTTCCTTGTTGCCTAGCAGCTAGGCTCTGCTGCAAACATGAGACCCCAGCTCATCTGCAGACTGAGTCTGAGGAGAGAGATTAATCTGATACTGAACATGGACATTTAGAATAAAGAGATCTAAGTAGGTTCTAGTCTTTGTAGGCTGTCATCAATGTCAGAGCAATTTTTGTTGCAGATACAGCCCATAGTATCATCTCGTGTTAAACTAGACGTTTTCATTTCATCATTGACTAGGCAAGCCGTTGAATACAAAAGTAAACAAGGATGCCACATGCATCTGTAGATATTTAAAATGAACACATTTCTTCCTGATGTTTCAGTCTAGTCTCAAATCCCAGCATAGTTCTTCATATTTTGTATTTTCCCATGTCTTTTCCTAGAAGATCCCAATCCACTAATCATAATTATTCTTACAATAAAGAGACCTGGTCTTTCAGTCTTTAATGAAACCTGAGGATTTTTACTGGGGAGATAGGAGGAGGAGATGTGTTGTGTTTCCTTTTAGACTTAGCATCTCAGATACTAAGGAATAGAAGTGTAAATTCAGACTCTAAAGTTTCAGTACATTTTTATACTACTAGGATGAATTTATTTTAATGCTTTTCTTTTATATTTATTCCATTTTACATGAATAATTCTATCGTCATTAGAAAAAGATGATCCCAAGCAGAGAGAAGCACTTCTACCAAATATTCAGGATCTTACTGTTAAATAAAAAGATAAGGATTCCATTCTGCTGGGCATTTCTGCTGGCTGGTTCAGACAGCTCTATGCTCTCTGCATATCTGCATGTCTGAATGCCCTGTATTTAATAACTTAGTTCTCAGAAACTGCAGGGGGAATTCCAACATGACACTCGGAACTGAGGCTTCAAGATCATGATGGTCCTACAGTGAGATTTCAGGTTGGGCATTAGGAAAAATTTATCTGAAAGAGTGTCAGGTGTTGGAACAGGCTGCCCAGTGAGGTGATGGAGTTACTGACCCTGGAGGCGTTCAAGAAACGATTAGATGTTGTACTGAAGGATACAGTGTAGTGGGAAATATTGGTGATATGTGGATAATTGGACTGGATGACCTTGGAGATCTTTTCCAACCTTGGTGATTCTGTGATTCTATGATCTGTGAGTGTTGCTTCAAAAACATTTGACAATTTAAAAGAGCATTCACATGGATAATTATGGCAGGTCAGCTGACAAAAGCCCACATGTTTTCCATCCAGAAGTTCATTCGAATGTTTCAACCTTACTTCTTTCTGTGAGTTAGCCACAAATGACTAACCCATGCTGGGAAAGCAGAAAACTGTCTGCTCCACTGTCTGTTCTGTCATGCTTGCCAGATTTTGTAGACTGCTTTCCTTTTACAGCTCAACTTCTTCTTCAAGTAAATATTTTATTTGCTTACAAACAGTGAAATAAAGGGTCTTGGATCCTTAATCTGCCTCTTAACATTTAATATTATATTCCTGAAAGTACTTTTCATTAAAAAAAATGCACCAGTGTAATGCAATAATGCACTCTCCTCTATGCAACTATCTCTTTTCAGGTGAAGACAGATGATAGAATAATCAAAATGGACCTCGGCCTCTTATTTCTGAAGCTGCATCGGCTGGATGCAGGGACTTATTTTTGTCAGACAGTGGAACACAGCATAGTTCACACTGTTAGAAAAATCACCCTGGAAATAGTCGAGGAAGAACGTGTAGATGAAATGTTCAATAAAGACTACGAGGAGGAGATATCTCACAAAATGCCATGCCCAATGCAGAGCAACATACCTCAGGTATCAAAACCATGGTACAAAGAATTTCTTCAACTGATAGGTTACAGCAACTTCCAGAGAGTGGAGGAATACTGTGAAAAAGTCTGGTGTACAGATAAGAAGAGAAAAAAGCTGAAAATGTCTCCATCCAAGTGGAAATATGCCAATCCTCAGGAGAAGAAGGCAAGGATCAGGCCAGAGCACTACCGGTTGCCCAGGAACATAGCTGACTCTTGATGGACAAAATCCATCTTCTGTTTCTGGGCAAAATTTTATTTGGACTTCAGTAAGAGGGAAAAATCAGCTTGGTTTTGGTAAATGAAACAGGTTTATATGTATAAAATATCAGGACTGAAAACAAATATACTATGGTAAGTTTTACTGTACATTCATGACTGTTTAGAAGCATTTTACACAAAATTTTGTCTGTTTCTAAGTAGGTCAATGCAATCAGAGTTTTGCTTTAGGAAGGATGTGACAATCTTCAGACTTTGAGTGCTTGAATCAGTTTCCTGTGTGGACCATGCTTGTGCTGTATATTGTTGCATATGATGGCATATTTAAGTACATTCAAATAAGTATTCACAAGAGGGTGAAATATAGAACGTGTATCTTTCATTGTTTTCACAAGTTTCTCATAGTTCTAAAAGCAGCATGTCTTAAGATCTTACATTTTGATTGTGACCAGTTCAAATTCATCACTGAGAGCAGTGAGATTTGTTAATATGGTGTCCTGCTTTTCCTAAAGATAATGAAGAGAAACCGTATTTACTTCCCACCGTTATTTGTCTCATCAGTTATTTATAAAGCACAGTGTACTGTTACAGCTAAATAATATTACCTAGTAACTTAATGTAAGTCAGGTGCATGCTGGGAACACAAAGAGAATGAAATTCTTCTACACATCTATACAAAATGTTGGAATAATGGTTTAGACAGAAAGCAAGCCTATCTTGTCTCTAGTAATGGGCACTGCCTTAACAACACAAATTAAGCGACTGCCCTCTTGTGGCTAAACAAAGCAAATCCGATGGTATCATATTTTCTCAAGTAACGTGTAGCTAAGTATTCCTAGATCCACAGATAGTTTGTTTTCAGCATGCACTTCTCGTCTCCATGTGCCAAATCCACAGATTTAGAAGGTAGTGTTGGAAGTCACTCATCCTGAAAAGACAGCATTTAAAGTAATACTATATGTCATTAATGTACTTTTGGGATTAAATGCAGTAATACAAAGTTAGGAAGTAGACTGAAACAGGAACAGCATTATGCAGTTGCTTTTCTACAGTGTTGTCTGATCCAGGCAAAATTTCCTGATGCATGATCTCTGGTCAAAAGAGCTCTTTTCTGCTCTTGTGATTGATACTACGAGGAGATCAAAGTAGTAAATTTACAATCTAGGACTTTCAAGACTTTTCCTAAAAATGAAAACAAACAAACAAACAAACAAACAAACAAAGCAAAAGAATACTTTTATTTGAGCCCAAAAGCAGCTGCATAAAATGTAGAAAATAAATTAGTTCACTACTTGGAAAATCTGGTATTACAAAATGGGCTGCATATATAGAAAGAAATACATAAATTAGTGGAAAAATAGGGAAGTTATAAGCACAAATGAGTTAAAAATGAGTTAACTCCTCAAATAGAAACATGATGCCAGTAGAGTAAATAGCCAAGCTGTTACAGACTTTGATGCTGCCAAGAAAATATACAAAGGATTCACCAGTTGTAATGAGGTTCACGCACAGCTTCAGCTTCTAATCAGAAAGCAGAGTTTTGAATTAATGGGAATTAACATCCTGGAGAACAGAGATCTGCTAGCTTTGCTCTGCTGATGCAGTGGATGGATGCTGATGCAGTGCCCTCCAAGCACTGTGTAAGAGGGTCTCGGAGCAAGAGTAGGGAGCATTGCTGTGCCCCTCTGGAAACTGACTGTCCCAGAGTTTGGAAAGAGCCTGTGTCACACTGCCAGCAAGTGGTCGTAAAACAGCAGATAAGCCTTTCCATCAGCATCATCTTAAGGAGAACAATTTATCAGGAAGTTTGTACTTTGTTTAGCTAGATTGCCTGTCTGAGAGATGGGAATGGACACTGCGCATTGGCTTGCATGAATGTGCAAGGTTGCTAACTTTGATCTGATACAGAAGACTGGTTAAATTCACTTTTCAGTGGCAGTTTAATGGAACTTAGCTCCAGTTATGATCTCTGATTATTTACAACTACAAGGAAAACTTTAGCACTAAAGACTATGACAGAGAGAACACAGAATAAGCATTTCTAATTTATATTTGATCCACTGTAAAATTTACCCTGGCATCCCTAAGGCTGGAAAGCTGCTAAAACGCTATTAATATCTTCGGATGAGTTATGAAGCCCACTTCTTTTCAGTAGTAATGGGAGTTATATTTTATCTTTTTTTTTTTTTTTTTTTTTTTTTTTCTGATTAAGTTGTTAGTATCTGGTGCCAAATGTACCTTTAATGGATTGTGGGAATAAAGAACAACAGCATCTCGGCCTGATGGAAAAAAATATGACTTTATGCCTCATTCTGAGATTTCAGGTAGAAATCAGGACGTTATATGCAGACAAGCATTCCTGATTTAATATGAGTGTGTATTTTAGCTCCTCATCCCTTTGGTGGTTACATATGGAGAATTCCATTAAACTTTTAGTAAAATTTTAAATTTCTAGCTCGCACCTTGCAACTTCCCTGAGTATTCACAGCTAAAAGATCTTTTTCAGAGTGCTACAACATCAATGGAAGAGGAGAAAGACTGACAGTAATGTATTTTGGAAGGATATGGTCAAATGTGCTCATACACAATGTTATTTAAAATGCTTCTTTGTATATATGGGGGCATTGTCTGCTTCTTTTCATTATGAGTTTGATGTATTTTGTATGTGCATGAAGTGTTCAAATTAGAAATATAATTAAGAATCACATTTGGCTGACATCATTTGTATTATTTCTCATAATTCAGTTTTACCAGACAATAAGATCATGTGTAGATCATGTGTGTGATCATGAATAGATTTAGTCTTCCAAAGTCAGGTGGATTTGGGAAGGTTATGAATAAAGCAGCATCTGTTACACAGATATATTTTTGAGAGTGGAACATGGCTAAAAACAGAAGATTCTAATTTATAGACATTTATTGAGAAACAACAAGCTGGAAAACCTTTGAGTTCTGCCCTCCTGCTTGATGAAAACAAACAAAATGATCGTGTGGATCTTGTACTAAATACTTAATTTCCTCTCATTTTTCTGTTGTCAATGAGATTATCGCCACTGGTACAAACTACTGTTGTCTCAGATTGTTGGGAGATCTAGTTGGGAGAGTGCTAGCCTGAAGTGAAATTCCTGCCTTGTATGTATCAGAATAGGCCTTTAGGCTATACTCAAATAATAAAACACATTTCTTTATGCAGAACTGATTTATGAAATAGATAAAAATAATTGCCTAATCCAGATGCCCCAAAAGCAGTCATATTGCAGGAAGTGTTGAGTTAACTGATACAGTTAAGGAGTTTTACTTTTTTTTTTTAAATGAATTTTTGGAGAAGAAAATATGCTTTTTCTCAAAATGTAGCCATCCAGTTACTCTTTTAAAAAGTCCATTAATTCCCTTAGTCTGCCTCAGAGCAGTAAAGCTGGAGCTATTAATGAAACTTTATATCTCTAGGTCCAGAAGGTACAAATGCCTTTGAAAGCTGCACTGTCCAGATAAGAGGCACTGAAAGTGAGCTTTTCTACATTTGTAACCCAGCAGGATGGCTGCAATGCCTATCAGCCCTGGAATCCTGTTCAGTTCCCCAAATTACTGTTTTTAAAGGAGAATTCATGTCATGTTAGCATGAGTATTTATCACAAATGAAGCCACAATTGACAAGTCTTATCTTTGGGTGATACTTTCTCTGCTAATAATGAATTACTATGATTTTTATTTTTTTATGAAATAATTTAACTGACTAACACTATATTCAGGAAAATGGCAGAGCTAGCAGTGTCAGGTGAAGCTACTAGCTATAAGTTAATCAACATTTTACATTTTCTGAACATATTTGCCAAGCATCGACCTAATCCATCACCATAATCCCATTTGTCAAATAGCTTTGCCCGTTTCAGATGATGCACCTTATCAGCACTCGAATTAGATATGACTATCATGTAATGTTGAACCAGGAAATACATTGTTAAGCTTTTGTGCACGTGCTCATAATTTGCTGAAGTGAGAGCTGCTATACGGAAGTACAGGATTTGACACAGTTAAATGCAATTGGAGCATGGAAGCCTTGGCTGCCCAATTCCTAGATTTCTTGAGATTCTTACTCAGAAAAAGCAGATTTAACTGGAGGAGGAGAAAGGTCTATGGAGATTTCAGAAAGTCAGAATTGATGTGTCATTATATCTGCTGGCTAAAGAGCCACAGTGCATGACTTGTTTCAGCAGACCTGCCCAATTGCAACACACGACAAATTCCAGTGAAACAAAACTGTATTACTTGCAATGCTAGTTAGTTCAAATGCAGAATTTTATGGCTTCAGGAATCTTTTTGCACATATTTGTAAAACTTTATTTGAAGTACAGTCTAGGATTACATTTAATGTGGGTGCATGTGTGTACATTATCAACCCTCAGAATATCTCCAGTCAGTTTTGAGAGCTGTTTCAAATTCAGCACATCCAGCAAAATCACACACGTATTTCATGCTGACTTTTTTTTCTCCTTAGCTCTGAAAAATCCCAATGCCCTCAACATGAATTTCCAACATAATGAGTGTCTGTAAACACATAATAATGTTGCATTAATAATAATAATAGTGATATTAACAGTAATAAACAGCTGCAACAGCTGTCTTCTCTCCCCAATAGTAAGATGAGATTTGCAGACCAATCGGCATGATAAATGGACTATGATCATTTTCTGCATTTTAATTTGCTAGCTGTATTAAAAGGTGCTATTAATCAGAATTTGAAGAATGCACTGCAAACTTTGTGAAAATCAGGTAATGGAAATATTCTATCTTATTGCAGACATACAGATCATCAGGATTTAATGTACTGGTTTTTCTTCTGCTCAAATGTGTTACTTACCACATTAATTTGCAATTGCAAAAAATAATGAACATTTGTTAGTGCTTTTAATGTTCTAATAACTTTTTAGGTACTGGCTGATCTAGTTTCACAAAAGCCACCAGAGGGATGGAAGTACATTTTCGCATCCCTTACTGTAATTCACAGGAGCAGAAAGGGCCACATCAAGCTCCTCTATGGCACAATGCCGTGTCATGCTGCAGCAGCGTATGAGGTAGTGCTGGGTGAGCAGCAATTGCAAAAACCACAGCATGATGCAACATGGAGAGCCCAGCTTGTGCTCCAAAAGTGTTGTTTGCCCCAGAATTTAAGGACAGGTTTGTGGTAACAACAGTCTTTTCCAAGAAGCTTCAGCCTGTGGGAATAGAGATTTTTAGATTGCAATCTATCTGCTCATTTTTAGGTGTTCATTAAGATGATATGATTTGTCAGATTAACTCCACCATGAGGCTTTTAAAGTAATCAAAAAGCTCATTGCAAAACAATTTTTGTCTCAAAGGAAATACTCCAAAACATCAGTATAGCTGAGAATACGACCACTGCTTCTGAGCAATTTTGTTTTAGAGAGATAGCAAATAAAGCCCGTGAGGTGGATGAAGTTGACAGCGTTCAACAAGAAATCAATGTATCTTGGGGAATGTTTCTGGGAGAAGATTTGGAAAAAAAACAGCAGCAGCTGAAATCACTAACTGATGCTCTCTTGCTCTTTCTAAAGATGTCTCCTTATAGTCTACTTTTAATAAGGTTTGCTCAGAAGCTAGTGGCATTATCTATTTATGTGGATATCGCAGTTATTTGAATACAGATATTCATAAAACTGAAGTGTAACTCCCAAACTTCCTTTGTATCCTCCTGCCTTTTTATTATTTTGAAAATGAGAAGGGACTTTTTTTAAAACACAGTTAAAAAACATAGAAATGTGGCTTCATTTGGTTTTGTTTTGTTTTGTTTTTTTTTCATGTGCACTGACCTTTTAACAGTGTGCTCATGGCAAAAATTCATTCAGTCTCCAGAATATGAATACCCTTTTGGAATGATGAATGTTCCAGACTAGAACATATCCATTTCTGTTCTGCACTGATGCTTTTTGATTGTTTTTCATGTCTTTGTAGCACCGCTTCACCCGTTTTGTGAATTTCATTAAATATTGCACCGGGCAGCTGAATATTTGGATGTATTATTTATGCAGGTGTGAAGTTAGAGTCTGTAGTGATCTGAGAATGGCTCACGCAAGAAAAGACCTTGAATTGTGATTTGTTATCAAGGTTCTTGTGCCTGAGTGAAATATAAACTGTGGGGAAATTTTTCATTGCATAGGTAATATGCTCCAGAAAGGCAGAAAAAA